GGTTGAGCTATAGGCGCCGAGCCGGAAAAACAATTTAATTCAAGTTGGGGGAAGGGAGAGGGAGGGGAAGGAAGGAGGTGAGGTATTGGTGTGCTCTCACTTCACGGGCACAATGTAAGGATAGATGGCACACCTCCTGGGTGAGGGCATAACTACAGAAGGGACATTACCTAACAAACGCAAACACTGTAACCTAATCCTTTGTACCCTCATCTTAATCTGAAATTTAAAAAGATAAATTAATTCATTCAACAATCGAGTGCCTACTTGCCCCACCACCTTCGCACGGGAGCTGCCCACTTATGATAAGCTAACGCAAGCCTTTATCCTCAGGAGAAATAGTCTCCTGGGAGTTCTGATTCCGACTTCAACTCGGGAAGACACCTGCAGGAACCCCAATTGGACACCTGACGCCACAGTTAAGTAAAGACCGCTAAAAGGCCACGCTGGGAACGCCAACATTCTAATTTCCCCCGAGCTCCGCCCTGATGGCGAAAACGGCAGAGACTGCGCAAGGAACCAGCTCCAGACTAGCTCCGCCCCGTCTCTCTTTGTTTTCATGCCCAAAGATCTCGCGGGAGTTAGACGACAAATCCCGCGAGCGCAGATCCGGGGCCTGCTCTGCGGCTCTCGCGGTGTTTGCGCGAGACTGCTTCCTTACTTCCTCCCTTGCTAGTCCGCCTGTCTTCCTCCCCCTCTTCCCCGCCCGGCCTCCCCCTCCTTCCCCAGCGGGCCCCCTCCCCGCAGGGATAATATGGTCTCCGGCGATGGACGCCCCAAGTGCAGGTCAGTTTCGGGCCGCCCACTTGGGTCTGGCACCTGGAAACGCGCGCAGCCTGGGCGTCGTGTTCCTTTCCTTTCTCGCCTCGAGTCGTCTGGCGGGCGCCAGGGGCCCCCAGTGCTCAGATCGTACTCCCCTCGGGGCCTGCCTGCCGGGCCGCACTCCATGCGCTGAGGCCTTGGCAGCCCGGCCTCCCCACCCCGTCTCCCAGAGCGACCCGAGCCGGGCTCTCGGTTCATCCGCTGGCCTTGACCTGGACCTATCTCACCCCGGTGGCTCCTGCTCGGCTGCCAGGGGCTTCCTGGTCCCTGTCGGTAATACTAGGGGTAGGGGAGGCCCACCATCTTTCGCAACCCGCCCCCATTTGTGAGAGATGCAGGTGGGGTCCAGCGTCTTGGGTCTCATTCGGCTAGTTTATTCCCCCATTCAGCCTAGCCCCTCCATCTCTCTTTGCCTCTGGAACCCGAATGAGGAGCAGTCAAGGTTGTACGTTGATCTGCCAGTTCCCTGACTATTGCAGCTCTGAGTATCCTCCCATTCTGTCTCGCTACAACAGAACAAAACCAAATCCCCCCACATTTCATTCTTAAAGTAGTCTGTACTTATCTCTTCTCATTTTGGACAAAGAGCCTAGCAACATTAAGGGTCGTGCCCACCCACCGCAGTGAGTCTGCACAAAAGATCTTTTCAACCTCTGGGCTGCCTCTCCGCCGCGTCTCCCAAGAACGTTAGGAGCAGGGGCACATTCAATTGAGACCCCTGGGTCTTTGACTTTGTAGTTAAGCTTAAATTCATACAAAACCAAAAGGACGTGTCCCTTTTAGGGGAAAATATACTATTTTACCTAACCATTGGGTTGTTCACTTTTAAGTCTTAAGACCTATTACTTGAGAAGTTTTTGGGTTGCTTTGGCTTTGATTTTTGTCTGTGTTGTTGAATGCTCTGTAAAAATCGGTCTTTTTTTTTTTTTTTTTTTTTTTTTTTTGAAAACAATCCCTCTAACATACTGGAGTTCTCAAATTGCTTTGTCTGTACATAAGCAACTTCCAGGACAGTGTCTTTTCAAAACATCCCTATACTTTATTTAAGTCATTCTCATTGTCCCTTTCTTGGTGTTCTTTGTTAACACATTTCGTTAGTAAATTATCTTACTAGCTTTTACTTGACAAATTAAAGCTACCCTATCCAATATGGTGGATACCAGCCTTGTATGACTTTAAATTAATTAAATAAAATTAAAAATTCATTTCCTCAGTTGCTGTAGCCACATTTCAAGTGCTCAACCATATGCGGCTAATGGCTACCTCTTTGCACACCTCATTGAACAGCACAAATATGGAACATTTCTACCATTGTAGAAAGTCAGTTGGACAAAACTAGTTTCCAGATGTTTTCACTTTGAATAAGATACTTTGTAGCTGTGTTTAATGGCATTTTTTTTTTTTTCCAGGATACGGCTTTGAGTACCTTATTGAAACATTAAATGACAGTTCACATAAGAAGTTCTTCAATGTATCTAAACTTGGAGGCACCAAGTATGGTAATGTTGCTTTACATTTACTTGGGTTTGATGAGTTTCTAATAATTAAAATGCATTTCTTGACATGAGCTGAAGAAATTTAAATTTATTTCCACCGTGTTGTAAAAGGTACAACTACACATATTTCTACCATGTTAGAAAAATGCTTGGGACAACTTTTGTTTGAGGAAGATGTAAGCCCATATGCTAACGTCTCATTTAAACATCTAAATTAAGCAACGACATTCTTCCCCAAAGAAACTACTAATGCAATTTTTAGAAAAATCTGACTGACTGATGATATTCTACACTAATCAAATATATATTTTGTTTTTCAAAGTGAATAGTGCCCACATTTATTGTTTATGCCATCCTTTGAATAGGAATCATCAATAGGGCCCATTGATTTGAGTTGTTCTCTAGACCTGAGCATGGTTTACCCTGACTTCACATCATCACGCTTTTGTTTTTAAATCACTTTTACTGGTTCAAAAAGCAGACACTTGCACCCACCTGACCGAACCTTTTACTGTGGTCTCAGAAGGGTGAATTTGACAGTTGGTATTGGGTGGAAGTCTAAACTTTACTGACAGCTGAGTAACTTTCTCAACTAGGCTAAGGAAGGGAAGAACTGTTTGAAAGAATGATCAGTCTTGTAACTTTTTAGTGAAAATGACATGAAAAGATAAATCAAATGCCAAGTCTATTGTAATCACTTTTGGAGGGAGCTTTTCTTTAATCTTGTTTTTTCCCTTCTTGCATTATTTAGTTAAGAGGATTGTTCCTGTTAATTTTCCTACAGATTTTGATTAATTTAAATATTCTAGATTGCTGTGTGCCATGAGAGTAAGGTTATTTTGGAAAATCTTAGAAAATCCTCTTAGAATTAAGTTACCATTTAAAAATAAACAATTTGCCAAAATAAGAAAAATATCTTTTACCTTGCATGTTTTGTTGTAATGATTTGTCTTGAGATGTTTGTTAAGAGACATTGGTCATTTTCTTACTGATAAACGTCTTTCACATATATTTTTTCACTGATGAGTTTGCATTAATTTGAAAAGAAAACAGGTAAATCTGTTGTATACAAGAAGGTCTAGTGATTCTGGCCTGGAAGTTTGTTAACCCAAATTTTATATTTTAATAAATTAAAAGGGCATATATAATGAGATTTAAAAAATTGAGTATAAATGTTTTCTGTGGATAATTTATAGAAGTATACTTACTTAAAGGTGTCCTTTAGTTCTCAGACTTAGGGGATCAGTAGGAGACTATCAAAAATAATTATAAAATGCATTAAAGAGAACAATTAATATAAAAGTTAAATTATCTCTGATGGAAATAAGTTTTCATGCACATCTATACTTAAAACTGTACAGAGTATGTTAATACATAAACATACGTACTAGAATTTTTATAACCGTGGATAAATGCAGTAATAGACTATTTGTAAATATAAATTTCAAAACAGAAATTTGGTTTTTATTTCTCTGGTGTCAGTACCAATGTTTTTCAGAGTGATTATTATGAGAAATTTGTTAATTATGTAAGTAGGCTGGGTAATGTGGCTCACACGTGTAATCCTAGCACTCTGGGAGGCCAGGGAAGGTGGATTACCTGAGTTCAGGAGTTTGAGACCAGCCTGAGCAAAGTGAGACCCCCAGCTCTGCTAGAAATAGAAAAATTAGCTGGGGATTGTGGTGGGCACCTGTAGTCCCAGCTACTCGGGAAGCTAAGACAAGAGGATTGCTTCAACCCAGGAGTTTGAAGTTGCTATGAGCTAGGATACCATGACACTCAGCCCCAGGGTGACTGAGTGAAACTCCGTCTCAAAAAAAAAAAAAAAAAAAATTACATAAGTGATTTTTTATTAAGAGGGAATAAAATTGGAAAGAATTGACTTTGAAAGAAAGAAGCCACTTGGATAGAAAGTATTTTGCTTGTTTAGCATCAGAGCAGAAAATCCTTATTGCATTTTTGGAGGAACCAGATTGAGACATTACAAGGAGACATTGCTTTGGTAGTGACCAAGGTTCAGGGCCATTGCCTCATTCCGTATTCTCATGCCTCCACATTAAGAATCAATGCTGTCCTGAGTAACTGTTAATGAAGGGAAAGTGTTCTATCCTCATATATGTTGGAGAGGAAAGACGGTTGAGAAGCACTGTTCTGCGCTCCATACTACTATGTCAGGAATGCCTACAGCTGCAAAGAACTGAAAACGTTCTGTCCAGTGACTTTAACAATAGGGGCTTATTTTTCTTGTGGAATAAGAAATCTGGAGGTAAGAAGACTGGGGCTGTCTAGCATCAATCTCAGCAAGAGTCCAGGCTCTTTTCCTTTTGTTTTTATTCTTTGGTTGCAAAGTAGCTACTGTATCTCCAGGCATTATGTCTGAGCAGCTGGAAAGGCAAAAGAGAACAAATAGCCCTCCCTAAGAGGCTTTTGGGTCCTGGGCCAAAATGTGGCCACCTATGGCTTCAAAAAGGCTGAAGGATTGAGTAAGTAGTCCCCCCTTGTCTACAGGCGACATTCCAAGATCCCCAGAGGATACCTGAAATTCTGGATAGCACCAACCCTATTATATATACTGTGCTTTTTCCTATACATACATACCTATGATAAAGTTTAATTTATAAATTAGGCACAATGAGAGATTAACAACAATAGCTCATATAGACTAGAATAATTATAACAACATACTGTATTATTCAGAGTTATGTGAATGTGGTCTCTCTCAAAATATCTTACTCTGCTGTACTGTAGGTAACCAAAACCACAAAGCCAAAGGAAGGGGACTTCTCGTATTTTAGCTTTACAGCTCTTATAGAGGAGAGAGGAAAGGGAGAAGTGGTTGGGAGTTATTGGTGAGTGAACCAGCCTAGACTATCTGCCTCATCAATCTGAAACCTTCTCTTCCTCTGTCTTTAGATAGGGTACAACACAAGTTATTTCACTCATGCTTTTTACTGCTATTTTTATGTTTCTGTTTCCCAAATTAATACTTGAGTTACCTTTATGGAAGTGGACACATCTAAGAACATTGATTACATTTTGGTTTTTAAGATTTCAGTTGTATGGAGTTACTTCATAATGTGCTGGAGCTACTTGTCTGGCACTCTGTTGCACTAACTAGCAATGTAGAAATTTTGAGTGACACTTATGTAGAATTTGAAACTATAGCTGTTGCTCAAGGGGAAGAGAAATCACTCTTGCCTGGAATAGTCAGAGACTGCTTTCTGAAGGGACCACGACTTGAATTGCTATGAAGCAGAGGGCATGAGTGAGGACAGGCAACATCAGAGAATTAGAATGAACAGCATAATGGAAACATGAATGAATATGTTGTGGGAAGGGAAAAATAGGGAAGAGACTTGCCTGGCTAGAATGAAAAGTTTATTTTAAAGAATAGCTGTTGTTGGGCAATGAGGCCTTCCACTGTTTAAAGCCCCAGGCTCTATTCTTTGTCTCAGGTCATCCCATTTGCCCTTTCTGGTTTTCTTTCTTGACTGCTTGCTTTTTTAACCACAATACCACCCAGTCCTACGATAGAGCCAGGACTTAGTATCCAAATTTTAGTTTGTAGCCTCTAAAAGAAAATCTGTGTTTAGTTTTTTAGTAAAGGTTTTATTGTTTATAAAAATCATGGAGAGGCAAGAACATTGCAGACAGTGCAGAAACAACTTATTTTTATGTTTGTATTAAAAATGTGCTACTTTTTTTTTTTTTTTTTTGAGACAGAGCCTCAAGCTATCCCCCTGGGTAGAGTACTGTGGCATCACAGCTCACAGCAACCTCCAACTCCTGGGTTCAAGCGAGTCTCCTGCCTCAGCCTCCCAAGTAGCTGGGACCACAGGCGCCCGCCACAACGCCCGGCCATTTTTATTTGGTTGCAGCCATCACTGTTGTTTGGCAGGTCTGGGCTGGATTCGAACCCACCACCTCAGGTGTATGTGGCTGGCACCTTAGCCGGTTGAGCCACAGGCGCTGAGCCAAAAAATGTGCCACTTTTAAGAAAAATATAGTATCTATTCTTTTTTAACCTTATTTTTCGCTTAATATATATCATGAACATCTTTCCCGTCTTTACTGTGATTGAATACCAGTATCCCTTGCTATCTGAGTCTATTTGGTGTCTAGTCAGGGAGCATGAGTTCGGGTAGAAAGGATACCTATACTTTTTTTACAGCTTCTAATGGCTGCACAGTATTATTGGTATAAATGCAACATGATTTAGTTAACAGACCTTTGACTATGGAGATAGCTACCAGCTTTCCTCTATGTATAAATAAAGCTACTATCTGTGCTATTTAAATTTTTGTTCATGCTTATTTTATAGAATTGTTGGGTTGCAAATGTGCTATTCCCTACACCCCCAGCATACACTTTTATTTTTATGCTTTTACTACATACACTTACTTGTCTCTTCTAATCTTTACCCTTGACCTTTAAGGAACAAAAAAATCACTCAATTATAAAAGATGTTACTGTTTCTAGACATCTGAAGGCAAAGGAAGAAAGGATAGTCAGGCTACACTAAACTGGCATTTAAGAAAAAAAAAAAGGATAGATCTCATGGGGACTGGAATTTCTAAGCTAGAGGCCGTTTCTCTTTGAATCTACTCCAGTCTTCATCTCCACAGCCCTCTTGACTTCCTCATTTTGTATATTATAATGCCCAGTATGGCTATTGCTGGCCATTTGTATGTTATGGCTAGATTACCTCCCAGTTAAGGCTGTATCTCTAGGTGACTTTTTCACCTATTGTTTTAACCTATTTTGACTGCACTTGTCAGGTGTCTATTGCTGTTGAAGTTATTGCTGAAAGAGACACAAGTTTTCTGATCTTGTCTCTTCCTTGAACTATAGAAAGGGCTGGCTCGGCGCCTATAGCTCAACCGGCTAAGGCGCCAGCCATGTACACCTAAGGTGGCGGGTTCGAATCCCCAGCCCGGACCC